TGAAGATTTCAGTGTGGCCTCCCTGTGTTTCAGAGCTTCTCATTTTTCTGTTCTTTAGAGGTTTTTAGCAACAAATTAAGTTCCTCAGTGGATGTTTCCTGGAGAATTTTCTGCTTTTTGTTTCTAATTTAAACACCCTATGTAGTGCTTTATGGGATTTAAGTCATGTCATAAAATCACAAGTGTGTGCGTCTGAATTCTTGTTTTGAAATCCTTGTAATCTGGTGACTATTTTTGTAATTATTCAACTTGATAGTCTGACCCTTTGCTTTCTGGTTTTCAAAGAAAAGGTAACATTTAATTGGACAGCCGCCCTAGCCTCTGGAGAGTTGGTTTATTGATCAAAGTATGTCTGACTCTGTTGTGATATGTGGTCATTTGTCTCCTTGCATCTTTTAAATGGGAGAAGATCTCTGGGCTGACATTTAACAGTGCAGTGTTCAGGAGATACTCTGGTTATGGCAGACATTCAGATGAGCTATTTCATGGTCTGTTCGTCTGTGTTCCTACTTTCTCTGCCGCGTTTTGGTCAGTGCTTTGATTTGCAGAAAACTGGGGGATTTCTGGTCCACGGAAACATTCAATACAACCGTGTGCTCTGATGTCCCGCCCCCACAAAAATGCAGAGGAGACAAACAAATCCCTCTCAGGTCTGTTGGTCAAGACACCACAAAGTCAGAAAACAGTCAGATCTGCCCCGCGAGAGAGGCTTTTATCTTGGACACCGTCCATTAAAGGCAGCGTTGTACGAAACACGAGCTATCTTATCTCCTCTGATAACCTCTGCACCAATTTAAAAGCAATGGGCGTTCTGTTTTCTTAGAGCTAGATTATGCAACCTAGTACCTTCTTTTTTTTTTTTTTTTTCACGGCCGCTGCAGCTTTGATTGGCAGTGCCATGTGTCACTCTGCCTCACCTGATTACTTCTGATCGGCCATCTTTCCCTGAGTCATGTTCAGATTCTCTGATCTGTGCTAAGTCATGATGTGAACACACAGAAAGATAAGGCCCGTAGATTAAAGGTTACAACTGGAACTGGAAATCACAGATGTAGTTCAGTTAGTTTGATCACAGTTGTGTGTCCGCTGCTGTTGCCCCGGGTCTCTGTTTACGTGCCCCTTTACTCAGTCAAGTCTTTCTAAATTGATTATCTAGCGCATTCAGTATCAATCTCGGGAGGACAATTTCAAATGCGCAAAGCCGTTAATGCGGTGCCACATCATAAAAAGTCAATATCACTGCAGGCTGACCAACAAACATGTCGGACAGTGAAGTAACCTGCAGTCATTCGTGGTGGCTATTAAGTGGATTAACCCCTTTAGATTAGTCTCAGCCTTTTCCCCCCATCTGTCCACTATTACACCACAGTTATGCACCACGGGATGCTCACGCACGCACCGATGGCTTAACGTAACAATGGCAGCTTTGGAGTCAACTTATGTTTTCTAGATAAAACCTTTCCATTTGACCTCCAAAAAAGCATCTGTGCGATGGCTCACAGGGAAGTGTTACTCAAAAATAAATAAAAATCAATGGGATGTGGGTAGAAAAGTTTTAATTTTAAGTTTGTTTACTTATTACAACTTGACTAATTCTGTTTTATAGAATATACCATTCATTTTATTTAGCTCAATAGTAGCTCAGTCATGTGTAGCTGTTGCCACAGTGACTCATTCTACAGGTGGATCTAAAGAAAAAAAAGGATTAAAGTTAAGTGTTGTTTTGATGCCATCAAGATATAATTTCAAAGTGAGTTTTTTTGGTATTTGTCTGTTTTTGTCTGTTTTTCTGTCAATCGAAATGGGCAGCTGTGGGGTCAATTTTTTCCAATAAAATGTCAGACAACTCCTCAAAGTCATAAAAGCCTGATTTCAGAGCCCACAGAGCAGCTTCTGTGAGTCCGACCGGGGTGAACTGAGTCATTAGCAGCTCTCACATGACACCGGTAAACTGCTGACCAGCCCTCCAGTTGATTGACCCGTTTGTGAGGAATAGATTCAGATCAGGAGCCTGACATGAAAAGCACACCCTGGATGTTATTGGGAATCAATTAGCCGAGGCCTTGGGGACAGAGGAGCATGGCAGGAAACCACATGTGAGGGGGAGGAAACACACAAACCACCGGCTGTTTGTGTGTGTCTGTCAACTCTGTGGAACTAATAAAACTGATGGACCGCGGAGGGTGGATCCACAAAGCAAATCGCAAATATCAGATACTACATTAGTCAATACATTTTCTATGTTGTGGGTTTTTGTTGTAGTTTTTTTTAATTGTTTTAACATGTTTCACTTCTTTTTGCGATTGCTGTGAATGTGTTTTGTTTTCGATTCACTGAATCTTCACAAATTAATCAGAAATAATGACAACACAGAAAAGTGAAGACCGGGCTGTGGATGTTTTCTTAAAAAATAATTTCTGTGTTTAAAGATATGAAGTGTCTCACAGTGTTTTATGTTTTTTCTTCTCTTTTTTTCTAGACTGATTGGGGTCTTGGACCAAAATATGAAAAAGGAGAAGCGTTATAAAGAGATGTAGGTGAATAGATGAACGCAAATATGAAGGGAAGGGAAAAAAACACTCTCTAAAGTGTAAACTGGCTCTACCAGAAAGCAAAAATAATAAATCAGACGGATGTCAGTCCCAAATATGGAAATTAGAGCTTTGAGGACAGGCTGCAGAGCTGGCCAGACAGGTCACAACCTCCTACTTCCCCCAACATACACACACACACACACACACACACACACACACACACA